AGTGATCATGGAGAACCCGAGTAAATCACCTGTTTTTCTGTCTCTCAAACTTTATCTCACACAGAAAGTGTTCTTACTTTCCCTCCCTTGCATTTGACTCACTCTTCAGATTTTAGCTGAGAGAACATTTTCTAGAAAATTGCTGCCTCAACTTCATGGAAGCTCATGTGACCAGTCAGGTCATAAGGCAAATGCACCTTTACTGACAGGAGGAGAACTATGAAGGACCATGAAGAACACTGAAGACAAAGGACTCTACTATTTCAAATTTTCAATCCACTCAGCTTTGCTTCCTAGCACTGACCGCATTAAATATTCACAATTGTAGGTGTGATGTTTTGACTAATGTCTCTGTCTTTTCCTACTGTTCTGTAGGCTCTTTGTGGGGAAAGACCACTGTTAATTCCTGTTCTCCAGTTTGAGCACATTATGGAAGCTGCTGTGCAAGTTTTTAAAATGAATAAATAACCTCACTGTATCCTCTATTCTGCTCACGATTCTTTTTCACTCAGACTACTTCTTGTCTTTGTGTAGTATCTTACCTAGTTTTGATTTGTTGAACGCTATGATAATTGTTTCCAAATTACTCAAGTGTCCCATTCTTCTTGTCCTCCTGTCCCATCTTCAGTAAACTCAGCTACCTGCTCCATCCCTGCACCCATCCTGAGTGGCAGAGAAAAACCACAAACCCAGCAGTTTAGAAACACTGTAATTTCATTATCACTTACTTCATGTATTCACTAACAATTCAATTATTTTCTTTGGTGGGATTGTTCCTATTACCAATCAGAATAATTAGTTTTTTAATTTAATTTTTAAACATTTTTATTAGTATGTATTAGTTGAACAGAGGGTTCCATAACCCTTTACAGAAATCAGGAAAACAAACCCATTTACAATAGCCTCAAAAAAATACCTAGAAATAGATTTAATGAAGGAAGTGAAAGACCTCTACAATGAAAACTATAAATCACTGAAGAAAAAAATCAAAGAAGACAGCAGAAGATGGAAAGCTCTCTCATGCATGGGATCAGTAGAATTAATATCATGAAAATTGCTATACCAACAAAAGTAATCTATATAATGAAATCAATCGCCGTCAAAATTCCAATGGCATTCTTCGCAGACATAGAAAAAGCAATCCTAGAGTTCATATGGAAGCACAGAATGACTCTTGATATGAGTTTAAAGCCTAAGTTCTACTCAACCAGTAGGTTTTAACTTATAAAGGATGAAAACAGGAATTACCAGCACACAGAGGAGGAATGATCAGCAATATTCTCCATTACAGGGTTTCTGGGAAGTTGAGTTGAAAATGTGGCTTAAACTGAGTCTAAGAGGAGACTTCTTCCTTGGCTAAGGATGAGACAGAGAACATACAGCAAAGGACCTAACTGATTTATGCACTGAATCACAGAGGAAGCAATGACACAGGAGAGAAAGAAAGAATGACTTTATGAAAGGAAATCTTGTCATTTGTGTCAGCATGTATAAGCCTGGGGGACGTTATGCTAAAGAAAATGTGCCAGACACAGGTTGACAAATACTGCATAATCTCACTTATATCTAGAATCTAAGAAATCTGAAAACATAGAAACTGAGGGTAGAATGGTGGTTAACAGAGAATGAGGCTGAGTTAAGGGGAATGTTGATCAAAGGGTTCAAAATTTCAGTTAAACAGGAAATGAGTTCAAGTAATCTATTATTTACGTGGTGATTATAGTTATTAACTATATATTGCAAACTTGAAAATTGCTAAAAGCATACAATTCAAGTGTTCTCACTTCAATTAAGTAAGTGTATGAGGTAATACATAGGTTAGCTAAATTGATTAAGCCATTCCATTACATGTGCATATTTCAAAATATGTTGTACATCAAAAGTATTGATAATTTTTGTCAAAATAAGTAAGGTTATATTTCAAGATGCATAAGGCATCTATATTTGATACAAATACTGAGAGAACATGGAACCTTTGCTGAAAATGCAAATAAAGAAGAGGAAGGGAACCAGAGTGGGGGGTAATAAGGAAGGGTAATGAGACTGAATAGGATCAAAGTACATCATATGCATGAGTGAAAACTCAATAATGAAACCCATTATTTTCTACAATTCATGTACGATGACAAAAAGGAAGCTTAAGTACATTTTGAAAATTTTTGGCGCTTATAATTGTAGAGCATCTACAATTATAAGTTCAACTGGGGTTTGAACTCAGGGCCTCATGCTTGAGCCAATCCACTACCCTTACACTTTCTTCAGAGAAAACGTATAAAAAACTTTTTATACATTTGATTAAAGTTTGTTCCACTATGATCTGATCACTCACTATTAATTATGTAACAGATATTAACAGAATATTTGAACTTTTCAGAATGAAGAACATGAATATTTTCACCTTGACCATCACATTGACTTTGTACATGCAACCTTAATTCTAAAATGTTCTATTGGACTGCAAATAGCCTATGACATTAGTGTTCCTTGAAGAAGTTAATTTAAATGTTAAAGTGTCCTCATCATCGTTTTTGTTTTATAACACATTTTTCAAGGAAGTTGTGACACTTCAAAATATTGAATATAACCAAGGGTAAAGAGGACAGAAGTGTCATCAACATTCCTAACTTTTCATCATTAGTTAGAAGTCTAAAAAACTCATTAAGCTGACTCTTAAAATAAAAATCTCAAGTGCATTTGGAATAGTATAATTATATAAACATTCTCTGAGTTCTGAAACTTGATTATCAGAAACTTCATGGCCAAAGTCCTAAAGAAGAAGCCCAATCCTAGCTCTTTCCAAGGCAAGCTCCACGATTTAGGAAAAGCCATTTAAACAGTTTTATTCATTTTTTTCCTTGTCTCTGGAAGACTTCATCTGAGTTGTGAGGTTTAAATTAAATTGTACAACATTTTTCTTCTCCAAGATAGGTAAGCTTTTTAAACAAGGGAAATTTGTCTTACATACTTCCTCCTTAAACCTTCCTGTCTCTCTTGACTAGTAATTAATGCCAAATTTAGATTTGGCACTCAGTATTCTTGGAATAAATGAAATCCATGCAGGCATAAATAAATGTAGAACTACATTAATTGAAGAGTTGGGTATTCTCTAAAATTTATTGCATATTTAAGGCATTTAACCTTAAATATTTGATATCAAGTAGGCTAAGACAGAAACTTCAAGTGATTGTTTAATGTTCTTTTTGGTCTTTCAGAGTATTTCTTCTCTTTTTCTTCTGACAAGGGTCCTTTCCCTTCTCTAGAGAACTGCCCATCTCAATTCCACTGTACCCTGTCCCTTGGCCACAAGGGAAAGCATGTGACTCAATCAAGGAAATCAGGTTGCATCTTGAGCCAAGGCTCATAGGATTAGAGGCTGCTGAGCCTGAGCAATATGAGGCCATGCTCTAAGATGCTCCACAAACTCTTTCTGCTAAGATCCTGCAGATGTCCCAGTTCTTACCATTTCTAGGCTTGCTTTTCCATCAAGTTCTTCAATTCTCTGAGTTACCCAGTTACTGTTGCTTGTGATAAGGCAACCTTGTTGGTAGTGTGTAGCAATATAATGCATAATTGTGTAATTTATTTATAAAGACCCATGAAAAAAGCAACAAATATAAGATGCACACTTTAATATGTTTGATATAGATGTCAAATGAACTGTTTTGAAAATTATACTTCAAGAAAGCATCAATAATCTCTCTCTCTCTCTCTTTCTATCTTTGTCTCTGTCTCTCTCTTTCATCAAATTGTACCAAGTAGTTAATTGCTTAATAATAATAATTGCTAATAGTTAATTGCTTAATAATAATCCCAGACTTCTGGGATTAATACCCAAAGGAAAACCAAGATAATTAAAATCTCCTGTGTTTGTGACTTACTGTAGTTCCTGGAGTCAAACAAGAAGTTATTGCAAGGGAGTGGAAGCACACACAGTTGTATGAAAAAGATAAGCATTCCTGATATCTACTTGTAGGCTGTTGGCTATCTAGGCAGATGAGGCTCCTTTTTTCTACTGGATAAGGTAAAGTAAACAGCACTCAATAGCATGAGCCAGTTATGCTCTCTGTTTGACATGTAAATGCCCAAAATGTGTTGCTTACTCACTGCTTCCTCTCCCCACAATTACCAGGAAGAAAATGCTGATGAGAAAGAAATAGATAGGAAAGGAGAGAGAGAAGACAGATGATAAGCAGTAACAGGGACTGAGGCAGTAGAATCGATGGGATGATGTATCACTTAAAAATCTCGCTATGTTGAAAACTTGAAACAAGTAGGAAAGAATATCACAGAAAAACATAAAACTAGGAAAGAAATCATTCCTACCATTACCCCTGGGTCTTCACTGCTGCAAAAAATAGTATTGCTTAACTTAGTCCTGATTAGAGGATTAAAGACTTTAGAGCCTAAAGTGGAGGCTACCCAGTTGCTCATCTCTACTAAAATTTAGGAGACTCAACAAAATGAGGGATTTGTTAATGAAATTTTCTTTCCATTAAGAGCTAAGATTTTTTCTTTTGGTTATTTTCTTATTGCTTAACCTCATACTCAGGGAGACAATGTGGGAAGATATTGTATCTCTTGTATGTGTGGCTTCCATAACCATAAATAAAGAGTAAGGGAAATAAATTATGTTAGATGAGTGTAAGCAATAAAGACAATGACTCTATATTTGTCCCTTTAGAATCATAAAGAAGCATTTGGAATGATTTCAGTTTTCAATTTCATAGTGTTTGTAAAGAAGGGAAGATAGGAGACTTGCTGAGGAAGGCTTCTGGTGAGACTGTTATTGAGCACTACCTACAATTAGAAACCAAACTGCAGAAAGATATCCACCCAGGGCAAAGCAGGCAGACTAAGACAGTTCTTTCAGGAAGCACCACTCTGCAAATATCTAGATCTTTTTCTTGTTCTCCATTCCACTGATATAAATACAGGTAATTTACACATATATTGTACTTAACACAGATTTCTTTTTCCAGACACCCAAGAGTAATTCTTCCATGAAAATGAGAAATCACACCATAGTGAATGAATTCATCTTGCTGGGCATCCCTGAGACACAGGGCCTGGAGACAGCCCTGTTCTTCTTGTTCTCATCAATATATTTATGTACCCTCCTGGGAAACATGCTCATTCTTACTGCCATCATCTCCTTTACTCAGCTCCACACCCCCATGTACTTTTTCTTGGGAAACCTCTCCATCTTTGGCCTGGGTTTCTCTTCAACAACTGCTCCCAAGATGTTGTCATACCTTTCAGGACAGAGTAGAAATATCTCTTTTCAAGGCTGTGCTGCCCAGCTCTTCTTCTACCATTTCCTGGGCTGCACAGAGTGTTTCCTGTACACTGTGATGGCCTATGATCGCTTTGTTGCTGTATGCTTTCCTTTGAGATACATGGTCCTCATGAGCCACAGGGTGTGCTCTTCCTTGACCACAGGGACTTGGTTGAGTGGCTGTGTCCATGCCATAATCCTGACCTCCCTCACCTTCCAGTTACCCTATTGTGCCTCCAACAAAGTGGGCTACTACTTCTGTGAGATGCCTGCAGTGTTACCTCTAGCCTGTGAGGACCCATCTCTAGCTCAGAGGGCAGGTTTCACAAATGTTGGTCTTTTGTCTCTCATTTGTTTTTTTCTCATTCTTGTTTCCTACACTCGTATTGGGATTTCCATATCAAAAATTCACTCAACAGAGGGCAGACAGCGCGCCTTCTCCACTTGCAGTGCCCATATCACAGCCATTGTTTGTGCCTATGGGCCAGTCACCATCATCTATCTACAACCCAGTCCCAGTCCCTTGCTTGGTGCCATAGTCCAGATTTTGAACAATCTTGTAACTCCCATGCTGAACCCACTGATCTATAGCCTGAGAAATAAGGACGTAAAATCAGCCTTGAGCAATCTGTTTCCCAAGAGAAGCCTTGCTCTGGGAAGTAAATGAAAAAGTCTGAAGTTTTACTGGAAAAAATTTGATTCAGATTCTTATCTACAGATTCTAAGACAAGTTGAAATAAATTGTACTCTGTCTCAGTCTCCACTTCCTTCTCATTGTTTAAAAATATACATGCTTATATATACATGTGTATATATATATATATATATATATATATATTTATAGCTCCCTGTTTTGTGATAAAATATAACTGATAAGGTCACTTAGCAGATATTTCACTGATTTGTACTCTGTGTGAATTCTCTCCAAGTACCAGTATCCTCATAAAACATTTCTTAGTTCTTTAAATCTTTGGAATAATTAAGAGAAAAAAATCTGCTCTCTCATGTTCTCAGTGTGTATTCATATAAGTCTATAGGGAAGGGAGAATAAAAGAAATAAATTCAAGAAAGATTAGCTTAATACAGAATGACAGATATTTATCATTTTATTTTATAGAGTGTAAGCTCCATTTTTCTACCAATCAACTCTAAAATTCAAACTAACTTCACTGATGTTTATGGTAAGATCTTCTTACTACACAGTCTAGTATTGCTCAAGATTATTATGGTTTACAGATTTTTCTAAATTCTAGATATTTTCCTTGCATTCTTGTGATACCCCTGGAAATCTGAGCCTGGATTATTTCTCAATAGATGCCCAAATAATTAATTTCAGGTGGTTCAAAATAAAATAAAATCCAATTAAGTTTAAATATATATCTACATTTTTAAACAGGGCATTTATTTATTTACATGTGTATAAAAGGGAGCCCATGTTAGAATTTTATCTAAATTTAAACTGCAATAGTAAGTTTGCCTTCTCATGGGAAGACGTACACTTATTATTTTCTCATAATAAGATCTCAGTTGTTTTGATTTCTGTACACTTATTTTGATTCCTGTGTACTCTATGTTCTATGAAAGATAGAAAAAAGTTTTATTTCTAGAATTTATTTTAAATTTTATAATTAACAAATTCTTTCTTTTTTCCTGATTTTTATTTCTCTGTTTCATATTTTTACCTACCAATTGTTTATAGCTTCGTTAAGTCTTTTTAGGAAAGAAAGAACTGAATAAATGATTCAGAAAAAGCAGAGGACAGAGAGAGGAGACAAAGAAGAAGGAAGGAAAGAAACATGTTACATTTTAACAGTAAAACAGCACTTTATTATTTTTGTAGGCATGTGCACATTTTATTTTTTAAAATTTTTATTATTGTACTGGGTGGGTGTACATCATGGCATTTACAAACGTTCTTACAATATATCAAATATATCATATTTGAATTCACCCCTCCACCATTCTCCTTTAAACCTTCTCTCCTCCCATTCCTGGAATAGTTTCATGAGATAACATTTTTCCATTTACATACATGTGTACACAGTGTTTGCAGTATATTCAGCCTGCCTCACCCTTTTCCCACTTCCTCCCCCTTCCACTGGTACTAGCCCTCTCCAACACCCAGACAGGACCTGTTCTTCCTTCCTGTTCTCCGATTTCATAAAAGAAAAAAATGACATTTTTTGTTTGTTTAAAATAGGTACTCAGGGAGGTTTATTGTTATATTTTCATGTATATATGTATTATAACCTGAAGTGTAAAATAGCACTGTAGAATGGAATAATTATTGACTTTTCTTACCTTCAGTTCCTGTCTGTCAACACTGGTGTTTGAAAATCAGTTCCCCAATTGGAAAATATAAGCCACAACACTAAATATTGACTGAAATTTTAGAAAATATTAAAAAAGATCCATTCATGCCAGTAACCAGGGTGCTGTGATGTGCTCTATAAGAATTTTTGAAGTGAGAGTCTGTGATTACATTGCACAAGGAGTTAGTCACTCTTGCTAGAAATCAAATGAACACTAATCCAACTCAAGCAACTTTAGAGACACTGAAGTTCTTTTTTAATGTTTAATGTAACAGAATGTAAATAGTATTTCAATTTCCCTTGTAGCTTTAACATAAACATCAAAACATGTAATAATTATCCATTGCACCATGTTTACTATAATCTTAAATATTCTGTTAATCAGGGAACACAGACTGCTATGTTAACACCTGTGTTTTCTTTCCTGCACGTCCCTATTTGAGGAAGCTTGCTGAACCAAGCGTATGTTTCACAGTCTCTGTGCTTCAGAGAGAGAGAGAGAGAGAGAGAGAGAGAGAGAGAGAGAGAGAGAGAGAGGTTTTATACAGGCTTTGGTTTTAAGCTTTTACATTTGTCTCTATAAACGGAAAGCAGTACTGAAAATTAATAAACACTTGGAAAGTTACAATGGTTTAAAAAATGTCCTTGAATTTTATCCCAATAGTTTTTTTCTCTATTATGTTTTCAAATGTAATTCCAGTTAATCTTGTCTTTTTCTTCTCCCAATAGTTTCATTTTTCATCAGAGTCAGGTTGACAAGTTAAGAACCTAGATGTATTCTGAAAATTGTTTAATTAGTGGTAGAACCAAAATTAGAATCCAAGTCTTCTAATTTGCAATTCAGTTCTCCTTCTACTTCATACACTTACAATGATAACTGAGAGATTTATGGATGACCTTGGTGCTATGTAACTTTGATTAACTTCTAAAAAAGTTAGCATAACCATAAAAATACTGAATTAATAAACCCATGACATTGCTGTAAGAGAGCATCTCTATTGAATGAGTCATATTTCTCTTAATATAAAGCAAATACTTTTAAACATGAAAAATCTACTACAAAAAATCATTTGTAACTTTCCTATTCTGATTAAATATCCCCAGAAACTTCATCATATCAGTGTTTAAATATTTAAACATAATATCACATTTATGGAAACATTGAAGAAGTACTATGAAGAATCCATATAACTTCTCCTGGGATTCTCAGAATGTCATCACTGTATTATATTTGTTTTTCCCTTTCTCCTGTCTTTCACATTTATGCATGTGTGCGTGTCTGTATATGTGCATTTGTTTTTGAACCAAAGTAAACTGCAGACATGAGTTGCAGATATTTGCTACTTTTTCCTGGCATGCTTTACTTAAAATGTGTTTTTTAAAAACAAAAGAACATCCTCATATGGTTATTAAATATATCATGAGGAAATAAACATTGATACAATACTCTTATCTAATCTACAAACAGTTGTAGATTTTACCAATTATTCCAGTAATGTCCTTTAGACCAAAAATATATATCCAGGATCATACATTGTATACAGCTATTTCATTTGGTTTCTTTTTTTAATCTAGAATTGTTTCTGAATCACACTCTATAATTTTAATCTTTTTGAAGATTTTAGTCCCGATATTTTATAGAAAATCTATTATCCTGAATTTGTCTGGTGTTTCCTCTTGATTACATTCAGGTATATATTTTGGCAGGATTAGTTCAGAAGTGATGTTGTGTTCTTCCCAGTGTATCATCTCAAGTGTCACTTCCTGTGGATTTATCCACTATTGGTGAAGTTATTTCAGGTCATTTGGCTAAGTGGTTTTGTCTGCCAGATTACTCAACTGCAAAATTATTTCACTTTCCTAATTAATAAAGACCTTTATTGAAATGAGATGATACTTTGCAATTATGTAAATATCCTTTACCTTTTAAATTTTTGCCTGCTAGTTTTTAGCACCCATGGATGATTTTTGCCTGAATCAATCACACATGTTCTTGAATATGTCCCAATAGAGTGAAAATGTTGAGCCCAAAATGCACTTAAAATGCCTAATGTCCTGAAGCTCATAGCTTACTATGAAGTTATACCCTAATTGTGCATACTTACAACACACTTATAGTAATCTACTCCTGGATATAAATCACTTAACACAAAGTCTGTTTCATAATCGTTTGTTAAATATTCCAGTTACACACGCAAATGGGCATTTTTCAGAATTAATGGGCTATGAAAAGGTTAAACAGGAAACACAATATTCAACAGAGTATACTATGTAGCATTTGTTGTTCACCTTCAAGATTCCAAGGCTGACTGAGAGCTGTAGCCAGTTGCTGATGCCCAGCACTGCAAGAGTCTCACACTGCATAGTACTACCTCAGGAAAAGATCAAAATTCAAACTTTGAAATACAGTTTCTATTGACTGTATTACATTTTTACATCATTGTAAAATACGAGTATCACAAGTCAAGCTACTTTAAGGAGAGACTGTATTATGATGATAGTTGCCAAATAATGACGTTCTAATTTAATCATTTTTACTACGCTTATCAATTAGTTTTTCAGTGTAAGGAATGGCTTTTCATTCCCTGCTGTATATTTGTTTCAAAATGACACCTAATAAACCGAATAAAGCATGTTATAGTTGTCTTGCTGAGTTTTAACTGGAATCATGGCATGAAATAGTCATTTTAGGACAGTATCTCTTGTTCAGGGAAAAGTACACCTTTTTTAGAAAAAGAGATGCAAAAGTAATGAAGAAAGATCATTCCTCTAGAGAAGATGACATTTATATTACCTCCCCGACCAGCTCTCAAATCAACTCTGTGATTCTGTACGATTGTCTCATAATTGTGGACAAACTCGTGGGGCTGGGAAAATAAGAGAATGGATAGAGGAAGGAATGGCAAATGGAAGATGATAAAGGAATAGAAAGGAATATTTTTTATTAGCACAAAATCCTGGCTGAGTAAGCAAACAAATAAAAAATATTTTCTTTCTCACTTGCCTTGTCTTAATCTCTTGCAAATATTAGATTAAATAGTGACCATGTGAGGACACCAGTCAAGCAAATAACAGGGTTTATGTGTTTTAAGACTATAGAAGAAAAGTGGTATAATCAGGATAGAGTACAAAGGGAACAGCAACAATATTCAAAGCAGGAGTTACAAGGTCCCTGAACTTAAATTTTTTGATAATGGAGCCTCAGGAAACACTGTTGACTCCTGTGAGACTACTATAAATTAAAACATAAGGCAAGCTCATTCTTGTGTATAGTGTTAGCACCCAGTTTAGCTTTCTCAATCTCAGTACTATATGAACACAGACTGTGATTGCAAGATAGAACACACAGTAAAAA